CACTACACATCCAAGTATAACTGACCAAATTATGAAAGACAAGCATTATAATTGCGGACGATATTGTCACTCCTATTTGCCATATCTTCAATCTAAGCCTACAAGAAAGTGTGTGTGCCTCAGGCCTGGAGGGAAGCAAATCCAAGAATAGTAAAGCTCCCTAGTAAATCTGACCAATCAGCCCGTTACCAACCCTTAGTTACCAACCCTTAGTAAACTTTTGGAAAGAATGGTGTTTGACCAGATACAATGCTATTTTACAGTAAACAAATTGACAACAGACTTTCAGCATGTTTATAGGGAAGGGCATTTAACAAGCACGGCACTTATACAAATGACAGATGATTGGCTGAGAGAAATTGATAATAAAAAGATTGTGGGAGCTGTTTTGTTAGACTTCAGTGTGGATTTTGACATTATCGATCATAATCTGCTGATGGAAAAACGTATGTGTTATGGCTTTACACCCCCTGCTATATTGTGGATAAAGAGTTACCTGTCTAACAGAACACAGAGGGTGTTCTTTAATGGAAGCCTCCGACATAATCCAGGTAAAATCAGGAATTCCCCAGGGCAGCTGTCTAGGTCCCTTTTTATATATTTTTACTGATGACATGCGTAAAGCCAGTGTGTCTATGTATACAGATGACTCAACACTATACACGTCAGCTACCACAGCAAGTGAAATCAATGCAACACTTAACAAAGAGCTGCAGTCAGTTTCAGAATGGGTTGCAAGAAATAAGTTTGTCCTAAATATTTCTAAAACTTAAAGCATTGTATTTGGGACAAATCATTCACTTTACCCTAAACCTCAACTAAATCTTGTAATGAATAATGTGGAAATTGAGCAAGTTGAGGAGACTAAACTGCTTGGAGTAACCCTGGATTGTAAACTGTCATGGTCAAAACATATTGATACAACAGTAGCTAAGATGGGGAGAAGTCTGTCCATAATAAAGTGCTGCTCTACCTTCTTAACAACACTATCAACAAGGCAGGTCCTACAGGCCCTAGTTGTGTTGCACCTGGACTACTGTTCAGTCGTGTGGTCAGGTGCCACAAAGAGGGATTACAATTGGCTCAGAACAGGGCAGCACGGCTGGCCCTTAAATGTACACGGAGAGCTAACATTAATAATATGCATGTCCATCTCTCCTGGCTCAAAGTAGAGGAGAGATTGACTTCATCACTACTTGTTTTTGTAAGAAGAATTGACATGCTGAATGCAACGAGCTGTCTGTTTTAAACTACTAGCACACAGCACGGACACCCATGCATACCCAACAAGACATGCCACCAGAGGTCTCTTCACAATCCCCAAGTCCAGAACAGACTATGGGAGGCGCACAGTACTACATAGAGCCATGGCTACATGGAACTCTATTCCACATCAAGTAACTCAGGAACTGAAGAAGGACTACAACATTCTCTTGAACTCCCTTGTTTGCACAGGGAAGAGATCAGTCATCTCTGGCCCCCTGCCGTGCTATAGAAGGGGTTGGGAATGTTACAGCTGCCTCGCCTAAACGAGTTCCTGAAGAAACTCTGCAAAGACAGGAATGTCTCCTTTTGTGACAATTTTGACTTGCTGTGGGAGCAACCAAGACTTTAAAAGAGACAGGATTCACCCTAACCACAGGGGATCCAGGATTATCTCAGTCAACAGAGAACTGCTTAAGAGGCTGACGGTCTGGGTTTGGTAGCTCTCCAGTCCTCCCTGTCATAATTAACAACAGAGGACATGGAAATCATATTTTATATCCCAGAGAAATAGATGTGCAGTCAATGTAAGTAACCTAATCTATGTTCCTTTAACTGTTAGCTGCAATAATCATATGCACATAGAATTTAATTCCACTGTTTGCACTGAAACGGTCTGGCTTAGGAAGAAGCCCGCTGTGGGCAGCCCGCTCAGTACCATTGACTCAGATGTAAATGTCGCTGACATGTCTACCTCGGATCAGCCTCTCAGAATAACACTAAAAACAAACAAGCAACCCAGAAAAGGACTAAAAATAGCCCATATTAACATATGTAGCATGAGAAACAAGGTTTATGAAATTGACATCTTATTAACATCAGAAAACATTCATATTCTGGCCATATCTCTGAAACACACTTAGATAATTCATTTGATGATGCAGTAGTAGCTATACATGTTTATAGAATATATAGGAAAGATAGAAATGCAACTGGAGGAGTTGTTGCCATGTCCTGTACGTCCAGAGTCATATTCCTGTGAGGCTGAGAGAGGATCTCATGTCAGATGATGTGGAAGTAATATGCCTACAGGTTCATCTGCCTCACCTAAGGCCTATTCTCGTAGGAAGTTGCTATAGACCACCAAGTGGTAAAAGTCAATATTTGTACTATATGTGTGAAATGTTGGATAATGTATGTGATCTCAACAGAGATGTTTTCTGTGTGACCTAAGTATTTACTGGTTGTCATCAACTCAAAAAGAAAAAAAAGCTGACAAGATTAGCAAACTGAGGCATGACATGCAAAAAATAAATGCTGACCATTCATATTCATGGACCAAATAATGAGACAACCACTGTTCCACAAAGTGGGTGTGGAAAAGGACAAACCACCTGGTACCGACAACATGGAGGTTAAGGACAAACCACCTGGTACCGACAACATGGAGGTTAAGGACAAACCACCTGGTACCGACAACATGGAGGTTAAGGACAAACCACCTGGTACCGACAACATGGAGGTTAAGGACAAACCACCTGGTACCGACAACATGGAGGTTAAGGACAAACCACCTGGTACCGACAACATGGAGGTTAAGGACAAACCACCTGGTACCGACAACATGGAGGTTAAGGACAAACCACCTGGTACCGACAACATGGAGGTTAAGGACAAACCACCTGGTACCGACAACATGGAGGTTAAGGACAAACCACCTGGTACCGAACAACATGGATGGTAAATTGCTGAGGTTGGTAGCTGAACACATTGTGACTCCTGTTTGCCACATCTTCAATTTAAGCCTAGAAGACGGTGTGTGCCCTCAGACATGAAGGGAGGCAAAGGTCATTCCACTACCCAAGAATAGCAGAGCACCCTTTAATGGTTCAAACAGCAGACCAATCAGCCTGTTACCGGTGCTTAGCAAACTTTTAGATTTTTTGGGGGGGGATCAAACACAAAGTTATTTTACAGAAAACAAATTAACAACAGACTTTCAGCATGCTTTTAGGGAAGGCAGCTCAACATGCTCGGCAATGACACAAATTACTAATGATTGGCTGAAAGAAATTGATAGTAAGAAGATTGTGGGAGCTGTTTTGTTACACTTCATTGCAGCTTTCGATATGATTGATAATAACCTATTGCTGAAAATACGTAGGTGTTATGGATTTGCATCCTCTGCCTTATTATGGAATTGAGAGTTACTTATCTAATAGAACACAGAGGGTTTTCATTAATGTATCAAAGCTGGGACCGAGAGACTGAAAAACAGCTTCTATCTCAAGGCCATCAGACTGTTAAATAGCCATCACTAGCACATTAGAGGCTGCTGCTGCCTATTGAAATCACTGGCCACTTTAAGAAATGGAACACTAGTCACTTTAATAATGTTCACATATCTTGCACTACTCATCTCATATGTATATACTGCATTCTATTCTATAATATTCTACTGTATCTTAGTCCATGACGCTCTGTCATTGCTTGTCCATATATGTATATATTCTTAAATTCCATTCCTTACTAGTTTTGTGTGTATAGGGTATATGTTGTGAAATTGTTAGATATTACTTGTTAGATATTACTGCACTGTTGGAGCTAGAAGCACAAGCATTTCGCTACACCCGCAATAACATCTGCTAAACACATGTATGTGACCAATAAAATGTGATTTGATTTAATGGAAGCCTCTCTAATGCAAATTCAGTTGAGTGTGGTGTACCGCAGGGCAGCCGGCTAGGGCCATTATTGTTTTCTGTTTTTACCAATGACCTTCCACTGACCTTGAATAAAGCCTTTGTGTCTGTATGTGTCTAATGTATGAAAAAAAAAAAATTATGCACTCACTAACTGTAAGTCGCTCTGGATAAGAGCGTCTGATAAATGACTAAAATGTAAATGTGTCCAGGTACGCTGATGACCCAACAGTATACACATTGGCTGCAACAGTAAAATAAATAACTGACACCCTTAACATAGAGCTCCAGTCAGTTTTAGAATGGGTAACTAGCAATAGGCTGGTGCTAAATATCTCAAACTATAAGCATCGTTTTTGGGACAAATCACTCGCTCAATGCTAAACCTCGTTTAGGTCTATTATTATTGAATAATGTGGCTAAACTGCTGGGTGTAACCCTAGAGAGCAAGCTTTCATGGTCAAAACACATAGACTCAATGGTTTCTAAAATGGGAAGAGGTCTGTCCATGATAGGGCGTTGCTCTGCCTTCTTGACATCTTAGTCGACCAGACAGGTCCTACAGGCCCTAGTTTTGTCACACCTGGACTACTGCCCAGCTGTGTGGTCATGTGCGGCAAAGAGGGACATAGGTAAATTGCAGTTGGTCCAGAACAAAGCAGCACGTATCGCACTTAGATGTACACGGAGGGAAAGTGTCAGTAACATGCATATATAATTTGCAATATGTACAATCCAGGTGTGCAAAGCTCTTAGAGACCCAGAAAGACTCATAGCTGGAATCACTGCCAAAGGGGATTCTAACATGTACTGACTCAGGGGTGTGAATACTTATGTAAATGAGATATTTCTGTATTTTATCTTCAGTAAATTTGCAAAAAACATTTAAACATGTTTTCACTTTGTCATCATGGGGTATTGTGTTTAGATGGATGAGAAAAATATATATATATTTAATCCATTTTGAATTCAGGCTGTAACACAAAATGTGGAATAAGTCAAGGGGTATGAGTACTTTCTGAAGGCACTGTAATTTAATCTCTGTTTTCCAGCTCTGAGGACATTGTGGTGAAGCTGAACGGCAGTCAGCTGACTATGGACTACCTGGAGGAGTTTGGTTTTAACGAGCCGATCCTGGTCCTGAAGAAGGACGGTCTGGGCATGTCCATGCCTGCTCCTACCTTCTACATCAGTGATGTGGAGAACCACGTTGGTACGTATAGTCCTGTCTCTGTCTACTGCTTTAACTAACAGCTTTAGTAATACTGGGGATGTCCACGTCTGCTCCTACCTTCTACATCAGTGATGTGGAGAACCACGTTGGTACGTATAGTCCTGTCTCTGTCTACTGCTCTAAGACTGGGGATGTCCACGTCTCCTACCTTCTACATCAGTGATGTGGAGAACCACGTTGGTACGTATAGTCCTGTCTCTGTCTCCTGCTCTAAGACTGGGGATGTCCACGTCTCCTACCTTCTACATCAGTGATGTGGAGAACCACGTTGGTACGTATAGTCCTGTCTCTGTCTCCTGCTCTAAGACTGGGGATGTCCACGTCTCCTACCTTCTACATCAGTGATGTGGAGAACCATGTTGGTACGTATAGTCCTGTCTCTGTCTACTGCTCTAATACTGGGGATGTCCACATTCTACACATTCTACATTTACGTCAGGACCTCTGTCTCTAAATAACTCATTGTTTTCCTACAGTAAGTTACGTAGAACTACTTTACTTTTTCATCAGATGGAGAATCTTTCTCTCCCTCTCTCTTGGTAGCAAATTATTTTTTTGGTGCCAGCGCACAGCTTTTCATATCACTCAATCCAGGTGTGAGGTGCTACGTTGTCTAAATAACTCAACTGGCTAGTTTGCCTGTCTGTAAAGAGAAGGGCGGGCTGTACGTTGATCCTGCTGCTCTGATTGGATAGAGCGACGCTGTATTTCTCCGTCCATTCGCTTCAGAATTTCACACGATCACTTCTCCAGGCCTGATTCTGTCTGATCATTTAGATGACTTCTGCCTCCTGTTAGCCTGCTACTATGATACATCAATAGGCGAGGAAATTTGCCGGCAAGCTATCAATGTGCATAATACATAATCAAATCAAATCAAATCAAATTTTATTGGCCACATGCGCCGAATACAACAGGTGCAGACATTACAGTGAAATGCTTACTTACAGCCCTTAACCAACAGTGCATTTATTTATTTATGGGCCAATTGTGCACCGCCCATGAGTCTCCCGGTCGCGGCCGGCTGCGACAGAGCCTGGATTCGAACCAGGATCTCTAGTGGCACAGTTAGCACTGCGATGCAGTGCCTTAGACCACTGCGCCACTCAGGCATGTGACCATGCTCATTAGTTCCTCAATCAACATATTTTCTGCTACTTGACTCAGTCCCGTTTTAAAAGTTTACATTCCCTGAGACCAACCAGAAATGTTTCCTTGGCCAAATATTCCCAGATTGTCATAAAACAGCCATACAGGCTGGTAGCTTAGTGGTTAAAAGTGTTGTGCCAGTTACCAAAAGGTTGCTGGTTCTAATCCCCGAGCCGACTAGGTGAAAAATCTGTCTGTGCCCTTGAGCAAGGCACTTAACCCTAATTGCTCCTGTAAGTCGCTCTGGATAAGAGTGTCTGCTAAATGACTAAAATGTAAATGTAAATTAGCGCTGGGCTAGCCGCCCCTTCTCACAATGTTCCGCAAAATAAATCATCCTGTTGTCTCATATTTGTGTATTTTAAATGTAGTCACCCTACATCAACTGTCAATTTACGGATACGATTACAAATACTAGTGTGGCCAGGTTGACACCCCCCTAGAGGTTACTACTTTGCTGACAGGAACCAGTAGTAATATGATTATTCCACCAGAGAGCGCTGCTGTCTGCTGTTTAGATCTAGAGCTCTGGTGACACTGCTACTTCTCCTGCTTTCTACTGAGCAGCCTAGTTAGCAACACATCTGCTACTCTGCTTTCTACTGAGCAGCCTAGTTAGCAACACATCTGCTACTCTGCTTTCTACTGAGCAGCCTAGTTAGCAACACATCTGCTACTCTGCTTTCTACTGAGCAGCCTAGTTAGCAACACATCTGCTACTCTGCTTTCTACTGAGCAGCCTAGTTAGCAACACATCTGCTACTTCTGCTTTCTACTGAGCAGCCTAGTTAGCAACACATCTGCTACTCTGCTTTCTACTGAGCAGCCTAGTTAGCAACACATCTGCTACTCTGCTTTCTACTGAGCAGCCTAGTTAGCAACACATCTGCTACTCTGCTTTCTACTGAGCAGCCTAGTTAGCAACACATCTGCTACTCTGCTTTCTACTGAGCAGCCTAGTTAGCAACACATCTGCTACTCTGCTTTCTACTGAGCAGCCTAGTTAGCAACACATCTGCTACTCTGCTTTCTACTGAGCAGCCTAGTTAGCAACACATCTGCTACTCTGCTTTCTACTGAGCAGCCTAGTTAGCAACACATCTGCTACTCTGCTTTCTACTGAGCAGCCTAGTTAGCAACACATCTGCTACTCTGCTTTCTACTGAGCAGCCTAGTTAGCAACACATTTCATCAACTCATTGCCATTTAAAGACTCACTATTGATTTTCTGTTGTCTGTTATGTATAATGAAGTTCCATTGAACTGTTTGTATGAGTCACTCCCAGGTCCAGACGTGGGTGTGGATGTAATTGATGTGACCAAGCAGACTGACAGTAAGATGAAGCTCAAGGAGTTTGTAGATTACTACTACAGCACCAACAGGAAGAAAGTATTAAACGTTATCAACCTCGAGTTCTCTGACACAAGGTAGGCACACACACCTGAGAGCTACACAGACACTTTATCATACTAAACATTATTTTATTGTCAAACGAATTATTATGAATTTAAACCATTAAGATGATAATGATATTATAATATTAATATTAACCCCTATTTATTTTATATTATATTTTTTATGATATTGTAGTGGCATGATTTTAATAGTCTTTATTAATCTCTCTCTCTCTCTCTCTCTCTCAGGATGGACAGTATAGTTGAGAGTCCTCAGATTGTGCGGAGGTTGTCGTGGGTAGAGAACTACTGGCCAGACGACGCTCTCCTGGGGAAACCTAAAGTCACTAAGTACTGTCTGATCTGTGTTAAAGACAGCTATACTGACTTCCACATCGAGTGTGGAGGGGCCTCCGTCTGGTACCACGTACTCAAGGTATAATAACCTTATTTATTAAGGTACTGTAATGTCTGGTACCACGTACTCAAGGTATAATAACCTTATTTATTAAGGTACTGTAATGTCTGGGTACCACGTACTCAAGGTATAATAACCTTATTTATTAAGGTACTGTAATGTCTGGTACCACGTACTCAAGGTATAATAACCTTATTTATTAAGGTACTGTAATGTCTGGTACCACGTACTCAAGGTATAATAACCTTATTTATTAAGGTACTGTAATGTCTGGTACCACGTACTCAAGGTATAATAACCTTATTTATTAAGGTACTGTAATGTCTGGTACCACGTACTCAAGGTATAATAACCTTATTTATTAAGGTACTGTAATGTCTGGTACCACGTACTCAAGGTATAATAACCTTATTTATTAAGGTACTGTAATGTCTGGTACCACGTACTCAAGGTATAATAACCTTATTTATTAAGGTACTGTAATGTCTGGTACCACGTACTCAAGGTATAATAACCTTATTTATTAAGGTACTGTAATGTCTGGTACCACGTACTCAAGGTATAATAACCTTATTTATTAAGGTACTGTAATGTCTGGTACCACGTACTCAAGGTATAATAACCTTATTTATTAAGGTACTGTAATGTCTGGTACCACGTACTCAAGGTATAATAACCTTATTTATTAAGGTACTGTAATGTCTGGTACCACGTACTCAAGGTATAATAACCTTATTTATTAAGGTACTGTAATGTCTGGTACCACGTACTCAAGGTATAATAACCTTATTTATTAAGGTACTGTAATGTCTGGTACAACATACTCAAGGTTTTGATGTGATTTATTAGGATCCCCGTTAGCCGACGCCAATGGAGACAGCTAGTCTTACTGGGGTCCGACACAACTAAAAATAAGTTACAGACAAAATACGTTTCAATTTACATACATTTAAAAACATTAACATGTAGTGTGTGTGCATCTATCAGTTCCACATACATGTCAGGACATACACACAACAAGTAGGTCACATGGGGGAGAGGCGTGGTGCCGTGAGGTGTTGCTTTATTAGTTTTTTGAAACCTGGTTTGCTGTTCGCTTGCGCTATATAAGATGAAAGGGATTTCCATGCACTCATGGCTCTATATAATACTGTACGTTTTCTTGAATTTGTTCTGGACCTGGGAACTGTGAAAAGATCCCTGATGGCATGTCTGGTGGGGTAAGTGTGTGTGTCAGAACTGTTTGTAAGATGACTATGCAAACTATTTGGAATTTCCAATACAATACAATACAAGAAGTGACACAGTCTCTCCTGAATTCTTAGCCAAGAGAGACTGGCATGCATAGTATTAATACTAGCCCTCTGATTACAATGAAGAGCAAGACGTGCTGCTCTGTTCTGGGCCATCTGCAGCTTAACTAGGTCTTTGCAGCACTAGGCCATATGACTGGACAATAATCAAGAAAATATTAAACTAGAGCCTGCAGGACTTGTTTTGTGAAGTGTGGTGTCAAAAAAGTAGAGCATCTCTTTATTATGGACAGACCTCTCCCCATCTTCACAACCATTGAATCTACAGTGCAAAAACAAGTTTTTAGACATTTTTGCAAAAGTATTCAGACCATTTTACTCAGTACTTTGTTGAAGCACCTTTGGCAGCGATAACAGCCTCGAGTCTTCTTGGGTATGATGCTACATAATTGGAACACCTGTATTTGGGGAGTTTCTACCATTCTTCTCTGCAGATCCTCTCAAGCTCTGTCAGGTTGGATGGAGAGTGTCGCTGCACAGCTATTTTCAGGTCTCTCCAGAGATGTTAGATCGGGTTCAAGTCCAGCCTCTGGCTGGGCCACTCAAAGGACATTCAGACACTTGTCCCGATGCCACTCCTGCGTTGTCTTGGCTGTGTGCTTAGGGTCGTTGCCTTGTTGTAAGGTGAACCTTCACCCCAGTCTGAGTGCTCTGGAGCAGGTTTTCATCAAGGATCTCTCTGTTCTCTCTGCTCCAGAGCGCTGAGGACCTCAGACTGACAGATTTTAGCTAATTTATTAAAACAAAACAACTTAAATATCGTTGTGCTGTTGGAGCACTCAGACTGGGGTGAAGGTTCACCTTCCAACAGGGCAACGACCCTAAGCACACAAGACAACGCAGGAGTGGCTTCGGGACAAGTCTCAGGTGTGCCAAGCTTGTAGCATCATACCCAAGAAGACTTGAGGCTGTAAAGGGTCTGAATACTTATGTAAATGTGATATTTAAGTTGTTTTGTTTTAATAAATTAGCTAAAATCTCTAAAAAACAGTTTTTGCTTTGTCATTATGGGGTATTGTGTGTAGATTGAAAAAGCAATTGAATCCATTATAGAATAAGGCTGTAACGTAACAAAATGTTGAGAGTCAAGGGGTCTGAATACTTTCCCAAGGCGCACAGTATGTCGCACAGCATGAGGCAAATGATTGTCACACCAGATACTGACTGGTTTTCTGATCCCCACCCCCTACCTTTTTTTAAGGTTTCTGTGACCAACAGATGCATATCTGCATTCCCAGTCAAGTGAAATCCATAGATTAGGGCCTAATGAATTTCTTTCAGTAAAATCTTTGAACTTGTTGCATTTTGCATTTGTTTTTGTTAAGTATATATTAATATGGGCTATTTTCAGCCCTTTCCTGTGCAGCTTGTCAGATACATAAAATACACTGCTCAAAAAAATAAAGGGAACACTTAAACAACACAATGTAACTCCAAGTCAATCACACTTCTGTGAAATCAAACTGTCAATTTAGGAAGCAACACTGATTGACAATACATTTCACATGCTGTTGTGCAAATGGAATAGACAACAGGTGGAAATTATAGGCAATTAGCAAGACACCCCCAATAAAGGACTGTTTTTGCAGGTGGTGACCACAGACCACTTCTCAGTTCCTATGCTTCCTGGCTGATGTTTTGGTCACTTTTGAATGCTGGCGGTGCTTTCACTCTAGTGGTAGCATGAGACGGAGTCTACAACCCACACAAGTGGCTCAGGTAGTGCAGCTCATCCACGATGGCACATCAATGCGAGCTGTGGCAAGAAGGTTTGCTGTGTCTGTCAGCGTAGTGTCCAGAGCATGGAGGCGCTACCAGGAGACAGGCCAGTACATCAGGAGACGTGGAGGAGGCCGTAGGCGGGCAACAACCCAGCAGCAGGACTGTTACCTCCGCCTTTGTGCAAGGAGGAGCAGGAGGAGCACTGCCAGAGCCCTGCAAAATGACCTCCAGCAGGCCACAAATGTGCATGTGTCTGCTCAAACGGTGCAGGACGTTTGGCATTTGCCAGAGAACACCAAGATTGGCAAATTCGCCACTGGCGCCCTGTGCTCTTCACAGATGAAAGCAGGTTCACACTGAGCACATGTGACAGACGTGACAGAGTCTGGAGACGCCGTGGAGAACGTTCTGCTGCCTGCAACATCCTCCAGCATGAACGGTTTGGCGGTGGGTCAGTCATGGTGTGGGGTGGCATTTCTTTGGGGGGCCGCACAGCCCTCCATGTGCTCGCCAGAGGTAGCCTGACTGCCATTAGGTACCGAGATGAGATCCTCAGACCCCTTGTGAGACCATATGCTGGTGCGGTTGGCCCTGGGTTCCTCCTAATGCAAGACAATGCTAGACCTCATGTGGCTGGAGTGTGTCAGCAGTTCCTGCAAGAGGAAGGCATTGATGCTATGGACTGGCCCACCCATTCCCCAGACCTGAATCCAATTGAGCACATCTGGGACATCATGTCTCGCTCCATCCACCAACGCCACGTTGCACCACAGACTGTCCAGGAGTTGGCGGATGCTTTAGTTCAGGTCTGGGAGGAGATCCCTCAGGAGACCATCCGCCACCTCATCAGGAGCATGCCCAGGCGTTGTAGGGAGGTCATACAGGCACGTGGAGGCCACACACACTACTGAGCCTCATTTTGACTTGTTTTAAGGACATTACATCAAAGTTGGATCAGCCTGTAGTGTGGTTTTCCACTTTAATTTTGAGGGTGACTCCAAATCCAGACCTCCATGGGTTGATAAATTTGATTTCCATTGATAATTGTTGTGTGATTTTGTTGTCAGTACATTCAACTATGTAAAGAAAAAAGTATTTCATAAGATTATTTCATTCATTCAGATCTAGGATGTGTTACTTTAGTGTTCCCTTTATTTTTTTGAGCAGTGTAGAAAGGAGCAAACAAAGCAAGATAACAAAATATCCAGCAGTCCATTGTCCATTCATCAGTTGGTGTGTGTAAGTGTTTGTGCTGTGGGGTTAAAGCTACGAACCCATAGGCTCTCTCATCCCTTCCAGGCTTTCACATCCCTTCCATAGCACTCTGCCAGCTTTTATGGCTGGGATAAGTTATTTCCTCTTCTGGTGCACAGTTTCAGGATAGTCCTTGTTGAGGAACATATATGTTCCTCTCAAGTTCTTGGCTCTTTCCAGAACAGCTACCTTGTCCTTTAACCTCAGGAATTTGACCACAATCGGCCTGGGCCTGTCACCTGGGCCGGTGGTGGGTTTTCCAGTCCTGTGGGCGCACTCCACCTCAATCTTCCTGTGGTCCATCTTCAGTTTCTCAGAGGTCATTTCCCTCACTTTGTCCTCAGACTTCAGATTCTGCAATTCCGTCCACAACCATGTTGTTCCGCCTTGATTGTCTTTCGAGATAATCTGATTTCTCCGCCATTGTTGTAATGGATTCACATACAGAGCTGATGTCCTCTCTCAATGACTTACAGATTGCTGTCATCTTGCCGTTCTCCTGTTTAAACTCCTCGAGCTGACCCTGGGAGAACTGCAAACTGTTCAAGTCCTGGACCTCTCTGGTCAGGTCGTCCATTCTTTTATTAGTTAACTCAACCAGTATTTGGTCAAAACACTTGAAGCTATTTTCCTGTTATTTTAACAACTGCTTGTAGAACACTTTTTGTTAAAAGATCCTTCACCTGTGATAAAGAGACATCAAATCTCGGTAACCCTGGTTCCCGCCAT